ATTACATTGCTTCATCAAACAGCAAATGCTATGGACCTGGTACCATTCTAAGTACTGGGATACAGCAATGAACAAAGCAGATGGAGTGCCCACCTTCATGGAACTAACATGTGTTGATCATGTACACAAATGAATGGGTTAGTGCTTTCATGTCAAGAAGTCATTAATAAGGCTTTGAAGTCACCTGAAATTCTGGTGGAACCACAGTGGGTTATAAATGTCCTTGGCTCCATCCCTGATAATGGGTTAACAGGGAACATTCAGTGGTAAGGTCCCAACGGTCATCTACTATTATCCGTATCAGCCCCGTGGTGTTCTATGATGCGCAACCTGCCCAGCATTTGGACAAAAACAGATGGGCCCTTTGAAGATGTTTCCTGAGATGGTGAAGACCTTGATGCAGTTCTGTATAGGGGGATTGAGAAAAGATGGGGTCCCATGTGTTATAAGGGCAGCACCTCCTACTAGAAAATAAGTTATCCCATTTATGACAGAGACATTATTATTATTGGAAATAGCACTTTCTTTTTTTACAGGAGACAGCCCCAAGTTCCATCTTCAAGGCAAACATGACCCAAGTTCTACTGACTCCCAATTATTATTCATCATTTATTTCACAAGGGATTAGGTAAATTAAAAAGAAGAAAGGAAGGGAGAGAGGGAGGGAGGAAAGGAGAAAAGAAGGAAGGAGAAAGGGAGGGAAAGAGAGAAAGAAAACATAAAGCTGTCTTAAAAAAATCATCAGTGGACTTCTAGTGATGAGAAATTAGAGAATGTTCCCACATTCTCAAGCACGTGAACCCCCAAAACACCTCCAAACCTGTCTGTGGTGCCAGCATAGAACTGGGAGACACAGTCAAGCCCAGCTCTGCACAGATCTCCCCTCCCCACATGTGATGCTGCTTAAAACGTGGCCCTCACCCAGCCTCCCAGTGTGTTCCCTCTTTCTGTCCCTGTGATCGAGAGACTGAAATTCGAATATTAATAATTTAGGACCGAAGACTTTTTATTTTCAAAATTTCAACTGTAAACAAAAGCAGGCTGTCTGTGTGTGTATGCCAGAGAGAAAAAGAGAAGGAAACTGCTCATGTTCACTGATCTTTTGAAATTCCACTTCTGGGGATGTGAGAATGACGACATTGCATACTCTTTGATGAGACTCTTAATAACTGCAAGGAGCGGTGAGATGTCTCGACAGCACTGCAGTCAGCTCTGCTCCCTGCTCAAGTACAGCTATGACACGCTGTCACTTCTCATCAGTCCTCCACACACTGCGTGAGATGCCGGCAGAGAAGCAGCCCCTCCTACTTGGAAAGCGGTACAGTGTTGTATATGGCGTTGTAACAGCTTTCTTTACTGTCTTTACCGCTCTGGGATGGTGGCTCCAAGAATGGAAATCAAATCCGGGGTCTGGATAAGGCTGGGTCCCCAGGCATCCCTGCAGGATCCCATTCTGAAGGGGCAGGAGCAAGATCAAAGCTTCACTCAGGCTCCTCCAACTCATAAAGGTCTTTATTTTAATGGCAGACGGCAAAATTGTGCATTTTTCAGCTCTAACACGCTTTCATGGTCACACCTGCTTATTAACCCACATACTGTCTTTCTCAAAATGCTCTAAGAAAGTGACCAGGGTCCTTGGGGGACTATTTCTAAGGTTTACTCTAATGGCATGTACCATTTATTGAGCACTTGCTATGTACAGGTCACTGTACTAAGTATATTTTTTCCATTTAATCTTTACAACATTTAAAAGGTAGATATCATTAACCTCATTTTACACTATGGGAAAATGAGGCTTAAAAAAGACAAATCATTTGCCTTGGTCATACTGCTAGTAAGAATCTTGGGGCCTGTCCTTCCAAAATCCATGCCTTTAACCAGTATTCTACACTCGCAGGGCAAGCAGCATGATTCATCAGAAGGAGCAAGGACTCTGCAGTCAGAGCCCTCCCACTAATTAGCTGCGTGCCCTTAGATGACATTTAACCTCACGAAGATTCTGTCACTTTGTCTTCAATACAAGAATCATAATGTCTACCCTGCCTTTCTCCAGGGGTTGAAGACAGTATTGACACCTGTTGCTGAGTTCTAATTAAGTTCATTTCTCGTGGACAAACTTCCTCGTCCATCTGTTCAAGATCAGGAACAGGCAGGGGGATAGGGGGTGAGAGAAGAGCTGCAGACAAAGGAGGTCTAAAGCTAAATTTAGAAGTTATATGTGTTTCTTTTCACATTGTTTATTTGCTCTTGTGTAACTCTCTGGGGAAACATGGATTCTAATGTTTGACAATGAATTCTACTAACATTAAAATCTATCTGGACTTGAAATTAAACAATCAAAGTAGGGAACGCCAGGGTATGCACTCAGTAAGTAACTAAAGGAAGGCCACAAGCAAGGCAGGCAGGGGCAGACAATGCCCCCATTTCCTCTGGATCTCACTTAGTGATTAGCCTGTTGATGTTTCGTTTCCCATGCATGGGGCTAATTGGTTCTTTGAGTCTCTAGCAAATTAGTTTGGTCAATTATTTAATTTCACTCTGTCAGCGATGAATAAAGAACTTAAAACCAATGCAGTGACACTCTTAGCCAAACTGTAACATTTATAGGTTGAACAGCTTTCTGGTTTTTCTCAACTGAGACATTATGCTAGGATGGGCCTCTTATTTTCCTGAAATTTCAAATTGTCTAGCTGATGCAACACCCATGGAAATCAAACACACACACACACACACACACACACACACACTCCTGCAGAGCTGATACAAAAATGATGCTGCAAATAGTAGCTAATAAAATCCCAGCGCACACGTTTCGTTCTATCATCATCAATTAACACAGCACTGATGCAGAAAAAGGTCCCTAACAACGTGTTAGTGAGGACTTTGGGGAACTCTTGGAAAAAACCCACACAGAGATCAAGAAATGAAAATGAATTTATGATGGTTTGGTTAAAAGCTATGTTTGAATGAAGAAAATAAAAGAGGCTAAGTAATAACTGGGGGACCCCTAATCATACAGTGGGGATTTGGGTATATATAGAAAATGAAATATTCATCATCCTACATGAAACACACTTGTGGCTGAAGCTCTGCAACAGAATCATAAAATTAACCAATTTTTTTCCACTCTTAATATCACCAAAAAGAGCCAAAATGCCAAGGTGGATCTGTTCCAAACTTTTTTTAACATTAGGAACATAGTGAATACTCTTCAACTAGAGGACCACTTGTAACTAAAGCCACCATTAGAGAGATGGCATTTCTGTTAAACCATACGGCATCCTCACTGGTGTTTATGCTGACTTAGAATGTAAATGGACCTGGAACCTCTGTGCCCCATCCTCCAGTTTCCACGGTCTGTAAGGACAAGAGCCTGGCGCTAGATGGGGACCCACGGGAGCAACAGCACTTTGATAGAGCATGCCTGCTTGCCATTCTGAACACCTGTTCACAGTCTTCCCCTCCAGTCCCCAGGTCCCCCAACAGACTCCACCAAGTCTCAAACATGCACAAAAGCTGAACTTCTAGGAGACACCAGAGAAACTCATGCACAGTCAGAAATGGGGGAGAGTTGTGTGTGAGAAAGACTAGAAGGGATTAGCTTAAATCTGAGATCTTTCTCCTAGCTTTTCTCAGTCCTGTTAAAATTGTTCATCATAGCACAATGTTAGAAATGTTTCCCCTCCAAGAGTCAGAGTAAAAAGTATTGCATTGTCAAGAGATCATTCATTCCCAATTGAGACAGCATTTCAAAGAGCAAAAGCCAGGCCCAAAATCAGAGCCTATTAATACTAACCAGAAACATTTACTTTTGTTATCAGAAACTAAAGTAAATTAACACAAAAGGTTTAAATTACGCCTACCCACAGAAGCAGGTGGAGACTGAAGGAGTATCATGCCCCATAATAACCAGGATATGGGAAGCTCAAAAAACTCCCTAAAAATACATTGCTTTCTTTTAATTGGGGTGAGGTGGGCAGGGGGGAAGTATCAACAACTTTCATTGAGCATAGGATACTGGGAATTACATAAGAAGTTGCATTCCAAATGCTGGACCCAGTAAGAGCAATTGAAACGTATTTGGAATGTGGTTAAATAGTTTTATCTAATGACTATTAATAAATAAGAAGACCTTTCATTAGTTGGCAGGAGGACGGTTGCTACTGGCCAATTTGATTTTCCTGAAAACGGTGAAGACTCCCACGCATGTTTTCCCAGATACAATCCCTAAAGTTCAAAAGTATTGTTTCTGGAATCAGAAGTTGCCATGTAGTGTCATCCTTTTCTTTACAGGCCTAAGGTCTCCTTTCACACGTTCCCAAATTGTTTGTTTTGGACATTTTTTACTGAAACCCTTTTGAGAGTGAAGAGTTCAGAAACCTCATGGTAAATAAGTAGTTGTTAATCAACAGGGAATAATGTAAGCAGAATGAAAAATGAAATTATCCACCCAGGGCACATTGGGTAGCTGACACTTTTAAACCTAAAATAACCAAGATTCCCCAGTATTACTCGAAGTTGGACAGAAGATTTAGTCAAGTGAGCTTAAGAAGATGCCCTAAATCTTGTCAGAAAAAAAAATAACCAAGTCAATTCCATCTACCCCTGACTTAGAAATCTACCCCACCCCCCCTTCCCATGGTAGGCCACATCTGGGCTGATGTGCTGGTTCCTCAAACTCAACAGAGAGAGCGCCAAGGACCAGTCACCGACCGCACCACCTGCTAGGTCCCACCCAACGTTCGGGAGCGGCAAGGCCGAGCACACCTTACAAGTGTCCCCACTTCCCTCTCTACTCTGGGGAGCCCGGCCCAGAACTGCGTTATCTCTAGTGACTGAAAAGCAAACAGACCTTTAAAAGAAAAGAGGGAGAGCGGGCTGCTATTATATAACAATGTACAGTGAGGAAGGCTTCTAGAAAATGAAAGTAGCCACAGGAGGGGCAGGGGCAGGGGAAGCGAGGGGAGCGCGGCGTCGGGGGAGCTGGCGCCGCCACTTACTCGAAGGCGAAGAAGAGTCCGCTAGTGACCAGGATGAGGATGAGAGTCAGGTAGAAGACGCCCGTCTGCCGGGCCATCATGATCCTCCCGTTGCAGAAGAACTTGTTTCGTCCCGGGAACACCTCCCATTTCCTCCGGGCCGCGATTTTCTTCTTCTTGTGGGGCGACTCCATGGGGGAGGAGCTGTGGGTGCTGATCTGGCTGTACTCGCAGTCTTTCATGGGCCCGCCGCCGCCGGGAGGCATCCACGAGGGCAGCCGGCTGGGGGCGCACACCCCCAGGAGCCCCCCGGCCGCGCGGGCCCCGCCGAGCCACGGCCGCCGCCCGCCGCCCGGCAGCCCCCCGAGCCGCGGCGCCGCGGCCCCTAAACGGGCTCCCGGCTCGGCGACAACTTTGCCGAGGACACCCAGGTTAACCCTTTGCGGAGACCAACTGTCATAGCAGAATCCCCTTTCGAGAGGGACGGTGCTCGCCCGCAGCCCCCGGCAGCGGTCCTCCGTCGCTTCCAGTCCGCGTCCCGGGGCGCGGGGGTCAGCCCGGCCGTGTCCTGGGTCGCCGTGCGCTCGCTCCCTCGCACGGCCGCCCGCTCGGCCCCGCCGCCCCCGGGCGCCCGGCCGCGCCTCGGCTCCGGCCCGCCGACCCCCGAGCGCTGCGCCCCGAGGGGACACGAGGCGGCGGCCCCGGCGCTGGCTTTCCTGGGAGCCACTTCTGCGCCTCGGCCAGGTTTATTCTACTCCTTCCTCCGGTGGCGGATCCTCCCAGGAGAGAGCGCTGGAAACTGGGCGGCAGCTCGCGGCACCGGCAACCCCTCCCAGGGGTGGGGACAACCACGCACGTTATTCTGTCAGGAGCGGCTCGGCGAGAGCCCGGGCGCTGCTCGCTCCGCGACCCCGCGTCGGCGCGCCTGGCTGCCAAGCCGAGTCCGCGGCCCCCGCGCGGGGCTGCCGGGGCGCCCGGGCCGAGGGTGGCGGCGGCGGCTCGCGGGCTGCGCGGAGAGGGATCCCTCGCTTCCTTCTGCCCAGAGGAGCCAGCCCCGGCGCGAGCAGGGCCGCCGGAGGGCCGCGGGGACACCGCCACAGACACTTGTTTGCAAGGCTCAGCCCCCGCGCGCGCGCTGCGCTCCGAGCGGGTCCGCCTCCTCCGGGCCGGGTGGGCGGTGGCGCCCGCGCCTCGCCAGTCGGGCTCCTCCTCCCGCTCCTCCTCCTCACCGGAGAAGCCAGGGCACTGCGGGGTCCCAGCCCCAGTCCCCCCGGGCCGGACGGGCCTGGTGCGGCCCCAGGGGAAGGCGCCCGGGCTCCCTATGGCATCGCGCGAGGCGGGGTCGGGTCGGGCGGCCGCGGCGCGCAGTGCGCTCTCCGCAGACTTCTGTCCGCCTCCCGACTTCGCCGCCCGGTTTATTCGCGGCAGCAGCTGCCGCCTCAAGACGCGCACATTCACCTGGCAACCGGCAAACCCATGCTTGCCACTCCCCGGGACCTGAGGAGCCACGGCGCGGAGAGGTGACCCTCTCTGGCCTGCCCCGGCTCTTCTGTTCCTCCCCAGCGGGCGGCCGGTCGGGTCTCCAGGGGACTCTACCGGCCCCGGGGATGGGGTGGGGGTGCTGGGAGACAGGGTGGGCAGAAACGGCGAGGCAGGCCTGACTCCGGGACCGGGCTGCGGGCGAGGGTCTCGGGCCCTGCTCGACCGGCTTCTAGGCCGGGAGCGAAGCGGGGAGCGGAGGGGTCAGGGTCCCCTCCGGCCCCGGCTTCCCTCCCGGAGTAAAAGCCCCTTGGTGGCCAGGCTCTGTTTGGGTTGCTGCCTCCCCCATCCTTTCGGTCTCCGCTTCTCACGGACGCTCACAATCAGCTGGTTTTATTTCTCCCTCCTTTCCCCTGCAGAGCCCCCTCGGCCGCAGAGGGACCGCGCACGCCTCCCTCCGTCCCCGCCTGACAGCTCCTGCCGATCGGCGGCGCAGCCCTCGGGCGCTCACTCGCGCCCTCCCAGGCGCTGCCGCGGGTTGTGCACCCTCGCAGGGGTGGGCACAGCCCCTGTCGGTCGCGCAAAGCGAGGGCAGCTGGGCGGGGCGCTCGGTTTTCCGAGCCCCACTTTCCTTTCACGGCCCACTGGGATGTGTAGTTCTTCCTCTCGCCGTCTGGCTCTGAGAGGAAAGACGACTTGGGGACCGAAAAACTACAAGTCCCTGCATCCCCCGCGACGAGGGCGGGAGAGGCGCGGTGCTGGGCGTGCTGGGGCTTGGTGTTTGGAGATGGGAACCGACAAAGCGGATGGTGGGAGACGGTGCCTGCTCTGTGCTGGTCACTCTGCACATGACACAAGTTCTTTGTCTAATCTTCACAATCTTGCGAGGCACTATTGTATCCAGCTTAGAGAAGGCTTACCTACTGGCCAAACATCACAGCTCCCCAGTGGTAGAAATGGCTTTGAGCCCAGAGCCCTGAGTATGTACCTTACAAAGCATGCCTTGGTGAGCATTTTCAAGGGGAGATAAGATTGGCTTATCCAACAGGACCGGTGCAGAAGGGCTTCCTGTTGTAAGGGGTAAGTGGTGGGAATGGCAATTAGAGTATGACACAAAATTGTAAGGAATTATGAATAAAAATGGAATTTACAGGGGTCCATTCAAAAGCAGGTTGGGGCGTTGGGTGAATGGATCTTAAACACACGATCAGAATTGGGTTTGAATTATTTTAGGTATTGTTTGAGAAACAAGCACATTACAGGGACAATTAAGTACTTTGTGGCTGGACTATTTTTTAAAAACCGACTGGCAAGCCTCAGACATTTCAAGAGAAAGCACTCATATGCTCTTCTGTGCTTTAGCTAATGGGATCGTGGGATATTATTCTTATTCTATTTATTACAAGCACCCTTTCTGTGGGTGCCCAATTATAATAATACACTAGATCCATTGACTCGATGGCTTTAAAAAAGACTCCCACTCTTGTTCTCAATTAAGACCAAATTTTTCTGTCATCATGGTTATGCTTTTTAAAAATCCTTATCTGTTAGAGATACAAGCTAAAGTATCTGCAAGTGAAATGATACAAAGTCAGAAATGTACTCTAAAACACTCCAGCCCATCCATTCCACTCCCCCGCCCCACCCTGCCCCAGACATGGGGATACAGATGAAACAATATTGGAAACTGTTAAAAATTGGTGATGATGGGTGATGTATCTGTATTTAATTATAGATTGCTGCAAATTACCACAAATCTAGTGGCTTTAAAACAACACAGATTTTTCTCACAGTTTCTGTGGGTCAGGGGTCCAGGCACACTGAGTCCTTAGGGCCTCACACCTGCTATCAAGGTGCTGGCCAGGCTGCATTCTCATCACCTGGAGAACTGGCTTCCGCTCTCACGCAGTCACTGGCAGAACGCATCTCCTTGCAGCTGTAGGACTGAAGGCCCTGGCTTCTTGCTGGCTGTCGACTGGAAACTGTCCTCGGCTTCAAGAGGGTGCCTGAAGTTCCTAGAGGTCACCTGGACTTCATTGTCACCTGGGCCTTCCCAGCACGGCCACTTACTTCATCAAGTCAGCAAGGAGAGTCCCCAGGGTGAGTCTGCTAGCAAGACAGAATCTTATGTAACATAAAGTGATCACACAGGGACAAAATAAAATGCACACATTCTATTGGCCAGAAAGCAAGTGACAGGTTGCACACACTCAAGAGCAGGGGATTATGCAAGGGTGTGAACACTAGGGTGAGGAGCCACCCTGCAGTCTGTCTCCCACAGTGTACAAGAGGGTCCACTGTGCTATTCCTGTCCACTACATCTAATTACGTTTATGTGTGAAATTTTCCATAAAAAAGAAAGTGAATTATTTATAAAATTTAGTCTAAATTTTCCACAGCAAATAAGATATGTTGATAGATTTCTGAATAAGCTGATATGATTGTTTATAGCTGTCTTGCTAGGTATTATTAATACTTGTTTCTTCCCACTCCATGTATTCTAAGACCCCTGGAAATCAGTTTGCTTATACGTTGACTCTTACTTAAGGGAGTTTACTAGAAGCTGGTGTGATAGCCATGGATTTTAGCTCACCAAATACAGTTGACCCTTGAACAACACAGGTTTGAACTGTGTGGGTCCACTTACATGGGGATTGTTTGCAACCAAAGGCAGATCAAAAATACAGTATTCCCAGGATATGAAGACCACATGCAGTGAGGGCTATGGCCGACTTTTCGTATACACGGGTTCCACGGAGTGATTGAGGGACTTGCATATGTGCAGATTTGGGTTTATGCATATGCTGAGGGATGACTGCAAATCCTACTGTGTAAGGTACGGTAGAGTTCATTCATTCATTTCACCATTATTTCTTTTGGAGCCTAGGTCGTACTGAGTACTGTTTTAGCAGCAGGGATATGAAATGACCTGAGATAGAAGTTTATATTTGGGGGCTGGGGGAGAGGTGGAGGGAACAAACAACAAACAAATAAATGACCAGGTAATAAGACAATTTCAGAGAGCGATTATAAGAATGAAAAAACAAAGCAGGGTCGTGGGCTAGAGAGGCTGAAGTCGGGGGAGGGACCTCTGTGAAGGAGACATTTGAGCAGAGACCCGAAGAATGAGAAACAGCAAGTGCAAAGGCCAAGGCAGAGCAAGCCCGGAAAATTCTAGGGGCACAAGGGGAAAAACAGTCTGGCTGGTGTGGAGTGAGGGCCAGGGAGAGAGGTAGGAGGTAAGGCTAGGGGGACAGGACCCGGGAGGCATCTGGCTTCCACATGCACTGAAAGTTGCTTACCCTGTAGCCACCACTGGTTCAAGTGGGGAGTGAGAAAGGAGAGTCGCATACCCTCTTTGCCCTCTTGGAATGCATAGATTCCAAACTTTAACATTTGTAATGCTAGAAGGACCTCAGTGCATCTAGAATTACAGACCAAGACATTTATTTATTTTGCAAATGAGGACACTGAATGCCAGAAAAGCCAAGTGACCTGCTAAAAATTCCTTGAGAATGCCTCACACGTAACAAATAATCCAAAAATCAATCCTGAATTGAAAGAGTACATAATCTGATTTAAATCTGTGGAAAACTGAGAATGGATAATTATTTAGTGCCTGTCATGTACAAGGCAGTGTGATAAAGAAGGTGAATATGGCAGAGAAACTACAATCTAGGTTGGAAAACGAGATGGAGACACACAAAAAATTAAAGAAAATAATAAAATAAAAATAACTATCTTTTTTCAAGTATCTTTTTGTATTAGCTAATATCCTGTATCTTTG